TTCGTAATTAAATGATTTGAAACCATAAAATTTATTCTCTGAGCCTTCCTTATCTACGACATCTCAAAGCGCCTTCCAAAAAAGTGTAAAATAAATTCCTGCTTAAAGGCTATTTGCAGTAGCACGTGCTGAAATAATGATACATGCCTAAACTTACATCCCATTGCAGAGTAAGAACTTCAAAGCTTCCACAGAAGCGGCTTCATTATGAAGTAGAATCACAACAAAACCAGTAAACTCTACTTCCAAATTCACAAAAATATGATAATGTATGCATCAAGTTAGTCATGCACTCATGATTTACATTTTCACTGACCATAATCTATACAATGGGGAAGATAAGTGGCATTGCAACCACATTTGACCAATCGCTGTAGCTAAAAAACACTAAATGAAAAAATACGACACAAAGACTTGGTGCTCTTAGAATTAAAATTTTAAAGAACCCTGTTAGGAATTTTTGACAAAGTTGAATAGTATATATCTCCTGTGTAATTTTGAACAAATAATATTTCAGAGTTGCAAAAGCTCACTCACCTGGGAAAATTATGAAAAAGGCAGGCGAAAATGTTGTGTAAGTGAATACTAAAGAACAAAAAGTAAACTTACTAAGTCACGCCTCTCGTTACGAATAGCTAAAAACGTAAGGAGAACCCCCCTCCATTGGGGTTCATCCCTAAGAAGCTTCCTTCTCACTTTAAAATAAATGAAAAACTAAAACTGGTAAAACTTTACTGACAAGCTTCACGTCAAAAAACTTTATTGATTAAAACAATGTCACCGAAAATAGCGAGCCGTAGTTGATACGTGTTTCAATCACACAAACTTCTTCATAGTGAGATGCTAAAAAAATTTTTTGAAGAATATTGCTCTGACTAAATATTTCCAGCTGGCGATGTATTTTTTTTTCCAATTCAGAAGGCGCATAGTACAGTATTGCTTTCAAAATACCAAAAATGAGTTTTGACCACAGCTCCTAGCTTTACATTACAGATTGCTCAAAACTACAAAGATTTGCAAACATAAACCTGCATTTATCGAGAGTAATACAAGCAGACGACGTCAAGAGTACGCCTAGAAGAGAGCGTCCTGCTTCACCGTTGAGCTCCCAGATTTCCTGCAACACAACTGCATTTTCAAAACGATATTTATCTCTGCGCATAACCCATTTAGTACCAAAATACAGTTATTTTTTACAGAAAAAGATATGAAACTTTTACGATGACGGTCCATCTAAAAGACTCTTAAGATTAGATTGTGTGATGACTTTAAAATCAAAAAGTAGACCTCGATGACATCGTCAGTTGTGGACTTAAGTCCTTGTTGACATGAAAGCATCAACTGCAGACCACTGACAAACAAGTTGGCTAAACCTGCACTCAAATAATTTTTTAGATTTCGAATATGCGCCATCTCGACCTATAAAAAAAATTTTAGTCTTTGTAAAATGAAACCATTTTTTTAGCAAAACTTAAATTTTTTTAGAAGAAAAAGAAAAAAAAAGGAAAAAAATTAAAAGGAAAATCTTTTGCCTTTGAGAAGCTATCTTTACAGGAATTCCACATGTGATGCATTTTCCATAAAAAAGAAGCTAAAGAGTTCTTTATGCTAAAAATGAATTAAATGTAGAACAATTTAAAATAGCGAAGAACATGAGAGATAGTTCACTATCTGTATCTAGTATCCAATCAGACCACAGTGCTTCTGCTTTTCCTATAGCGCTCTGAAGATACACTGTTGAAGCGTACCCAAAACACGTCTTCTTATTCCACTCAACCGCCAAATCGCCACGAAACGAGTGATGATCCTGGTCCAGAGGAGTCCCCTAAACCACAATATTAGTAATTCCTCAAACAACAATTTTAGTGAGAGATACCCGTAAAAACGGCTTAATATCCAAGCAAAAATAACTATAAACACCTCAGCGAACTCGTGATGCAGGCATGGAGCTGAATTGTATTTCTTCATTCCCAAACTTACAAGATTTGGATCAGCAATTGGTATAAATTTGCATGACGAGAACAAAGGCTATAATAAAATTCTATTTTTAACAATTTTAACTTAATTAGAAGTACAGCTTAAAAACGAAGCACTAAGAAAAACGCAGTTACTTGTTTGTTCAAAAAAATGAAATAAATTGTAAACGTATAGAAGAACCATCCGCTTTTAAATCACTCCTGCAAATTACGTGTAATCTAAACTGAAACCAAAAATGATTTTGCCTTCAACGTCTTTCAAAAGTGAAGCATTTGAAATCCTTAAACCATAATTATTAATTACTGTCCATGTTAAAGCTCCTTTTTCCCTGAAAATATTTTATTGCTTCTAATATGCACTTCTCATCCAGCCGACAAACACAATAAGCCAGACAGTTACTCTATTTCCGTATGTACAACTATTCATCTCAGAAAGCGTGCAAAGTTACGTTACGCGATGCGTAAAAATCATGTATAAATAATAATTCATATAGCTTGCAAAAAATCTACAATAGAACAAAACAAATTTCATGTTCTGAAGCGAATATCAGATCCACTTAAATAACACTGAACCGCTGGCCTGTCAACACTACATTGAAACTCTATCGCCAAAGCGCGTTTCAGGAGAACAGAAGCATTTTCTTGAAACAGAAAACAGATGTGACCTTTCCAATTTTTCCAAAACGAAACGGTGACCAGAAACTGCGTCGTACCTCCACGCGTTGTTGATCTTTCTTCTCTTCCACCGCTATAGTTCCAGACTTCTCCCTACAACCAGTAGATGACCCACTTTCAGGAACCGATCCGCGAGGAACATTTCCTTAGCAGCGCTTCTTTTTTGAACGATTATTCCTGCTCGAACTATTCCCACCTAAATAAAAACGTGCTCTTTCCCATTTTCTGCTGGGAATAAATTTCTCTTAAAAAGAAATAGAAAGAGACTATACAAGTTACATCAAATAATCTATTCTGAAAGTAAATCTCGTCAACAGCTTTTTACAAACAACGAAAGCATAAGCCACTGTAAGAAATTGAAAATGACTTAAGGTCTCGTAAGCAAACAAGCAACCCAAATCCTACCCGTTTCATTCGTTTTCTCGAGAAGTCCAGTGAATTCACATGCTTAAACTCACAAGTCTTCCAACATAAGAACAGTCGCCACTTTGACAGCAAAAGCTGCCAAACGAACACCAGCAAATTACATTCCCAAGTATGCATTCTGCCAAGAGCAAGACTGGTCCGACAGTTGCCAGAAATAAGCCAATGCAAAAGATCGGAATGCTCACGCTAAAAATTAAAAAATTTGTTTCTGGTGTCTAAAATTGATCACAAAAGTAACAGCTGCATCCGAAGGGTATCCTGTTAGCACTGCAAAGAATCGCACAATTCCACCCTTTGGAAAAATCGACAAAAACTACTAAAACGAACTCAATCTACTACTCTGTCACAGAACGCACGAGATGATAATGGAAGCGTTTCTTTACCACCAACATTCGCGAATGCGTTACATCTGCGCTCTGGGATATTTCTCTTGTCATTGTTAGGCCAGACAAGAGTTTATACGCACAAAACTTTTGTTCAACAAATTTTCTGGTCTGCGACCTCTGGCCTAGAATGCCTAAAAGTATTTTCTATGTACTAAAAATGAACATTGACTTCCAGAATGGAGATAAAAGCAACTGTTCCAATTTTGCTCCTCTTCCTCGCCTTTTTAGCATATAAACATTTTTCTGAAGTCGCAGTAATGCAGTCGACAAAGTTCTAGTTCTTGGCCTAATCAACATAAACTGCAGTCTAAATACAAATCTTTCAGTTTACAACAATTTGAAATAACCCTCAAGTCACC